AAAATGTTTACACGATTCTAGTTCTAGAGCAGCCTTAAAACAACACACTTAAATACCAAAACGAAATGCTTTGTGGTTCTTAGATACATTGATACCAAAATGTTTAAACGATTCTAGTTCTAGAGCAGCCTTAAAACAACACCCTTAAATACCAAAACGAAATGCTTATGTCTTTTGTTAATGCCAGAGTAACTTTAATTGAAAAACATATTATTATTTTTAAAGAATAAATATCCGATTCCCTGCTTTACAGAGAACTCAGAACATGTCTACAGTAGCTGATCCATGTATAATTTTGAAAGACTCGCAAGAAGTAAACCATCCTATCTGCTAGAGATGGATATTGCCGCGGATTGCTGACAAATGCAAAGCCAAAATTGCATGTTGTTAAAAAGGCAGGAAGATCATTGCTATATACAATGTAAAGTTTTCCACCTTCGTGCTTGCCTTTATACGAGAAATTTGTTGAAAATTCTTCTTGAAAAAATGACACGGCTGTACATATTTGCTGATAGGTACAGTTGTTCCTCTAAGCGTCGCCTGATAAAGCACAAATAAGAAAAGAATTGTTTCAACATCTTTGAACATAAAAATATGAAACCTACAAAAATTTCGCATGAAGTAACCTTATCTGTATGCATCCATGTTTGCTAGATGAATGAATGGCTCAACCTCCGCAAAGCATGAAAGCCATATTAGAAACAAAATTCTCCCCGATAAAGAATTATCTCAACAATTCGAAAATAAAAACAAAAATGGTCAACTATCCATCTAATTCCGGAAGAATATATTTTTCTGTTTAGTATTACAATGTAACTGAAGAATTAACGACGACATATTAACTTGCATCAATAAAAAAATATTGCAAGGTATTTTTAAGTACTTATGATTATTACAATCTTTAAACGTATAAGACAACAAATAAAGTATTTTTTGAATGAGTCAGATACAAATTAAAACTTATAATAATCACAAGTAACAATTACACAATGTACATGACAAACTACAATGAAAACTTGTTGTGATTCAAAACTTATAATAATCACAAGTAACAATTACACAATATACATCACCAACTACAATGATAACGTGATATGATTCAAAACTTTTAGTAATCGCAAGTAACTATTACACAATGTACATCACCAACTACAATGATAACGTGATGTGATTCAAAACTTATAATAATCACAAAAAAACAATTACACAATGTACATGACCAACTACAATGATAACGTGATGTGATTCAAAACTTATAATAATCACAAGTGACAATTACACAATGTACATGACCATCTACAATGATAACTTGCTGTGATTCAAAACTTATAATAATCACAAGTAACAATTACACAATGACCATGACCAACTACAATGATAACTTGCTGTAATTCAAAACTTACAGTAATCACAAGTAACAATTACACAATGTACATCACCAACTACAATGATAACGTGCTATGATTCAATATCCAGAAAATTATAAAAGTATCTATTGAATCTGACTCAGTTTCCGTTTTTCGAAAACAAAAATATTTACATATTTTTTTGGACCAAATGAATAATAGAAAAATTGCACGATGGCTGTTATTTGTACTTACTAGAGTCTTTGCCAGTTGATTTGTTTTACGGAGACTTTATATCGTACGATGCTAATGGCCACGAAACGTAATACAGAGGGATGCTAATAACAGGAGGAAGCAGGAAGAACGACAGAGTTCATGATATGCCTATAGCATATTATTTTTTGCATGACTTCAGATCCAAATAGATAGATCAATATCCACTGTATTCAGTTGGTGTTCTTTGTCAGGAGTTTAGATTTCACGTTACAGCTAAGTTATAGAAAGCGAAGACTGCATAACCACTGCACTACAAGATGAGGATTGAGAATTTGGAAGCAATTGTTTCCAATAAAATATGATTATCTCCGAATTAATAGTGTATTCTGCGACTAGTAGGAATGGAAACACTTCGATAGAATTATACGATTATTCACCATGGAGGGTCATTGACATAGCAGCAAATGTTGTTTTAATAAATCTCACACTTGATTCTCCTAGGATGAGGTTTAAGGATTCTTTTGATACTATACGAAGGGAGTGGAGAAAGGAATACCGAAAGATCTTAAAATCTTAGAAATAAACATATTATTGTTGGCTATAGAAGCTCTTCCAAGCATGGTTTATCTACTGTTTCTAATTTTTGCCACAGATTGTCGAAAGCACTAAATATTCTTTGATGAAAAAAAAAAAACGGTAACGAAAATGTTCAAAAAGTTTACACGCGATAACCTTCTTCATGTTAGCAATCTTAAATTAGCTAACGTAAAAGGATGTACCCACTCTCAAATAAAAAAAGAAAATTGAATGATTACAAATTATATATTTATTTTATGTCTGATGTTATTACGTTAACGTTCAAAAACAATTAACGTAAATCACTTTTGCTCAGACATCACTAATTAGCAAAGCGCACACATTTTGTTTTACCTAGGGATAAATATATTCGAGAGAACCCTAATGGGCATGGTTATTTATGGACCAATTGTTTGTGGAGAAAACAAACAATTGCTTTTCTAGATTACATCATAATCATCTGTCTAACGGTTCACGGAAGAATATCTAAGATATAAAGTGTGAAGGAGGAAAAAGATTCTGATTTATCTAGAAGATACACTAAATGTTGGATTTGAGTTACTGGTTGATTATTAACAGGGTGCCAATAATTTGTCTCTACTTAATAACCGTAGGATCTTGATAATATACAACAGAAAGGAAGTAAATTAACCTGTATAGCTTATTGGGGCGATATTTAGAAACAAAAAAAATAGTTACTAATCAAAGATTTTAGAGAAAACATACAGTTTTAGTCGGCTTATAGAGCATGGACAAAAATGCAATGGAAACAATGTTGGAAGTGAACCATGCTATTTTTAAGAGAATGAGAGGGCACATTGTGTTTACTATGAACCAGAACAAAAGAAACTTTAATGGGACTACTGTTTCCTTATCAAAAAGCTATTGATGTGTCCGTTAGGTTATGTACTTACCTTGTCAACCAGTCACTACTTGTCGTGATACACGAACAATACTTCTTTGTTCATCTTGATGTGTTTCATCTTGTAACTGTAAGACCTGATTGCTTCATGTGCTGGTAATTTTCCTTGAGACTGAATAAGTAAAATTTGCATATTTCAAATCTTTAAATTCTTTATTACCACGTGCTTTTATGCATTAGTATACGTTCTTTTACGCTTTATCCGTCTTGATTGTATTTTTAGACATCAACCCACCAACCTTTTTAACTGGATTGTCAGTTCATTTTTTTAAAACACCTTGTATATTTTATTCATTTGTATTAGGCCAACTAGGTTGTCCTTTGAATTCTTGCTAGAGTCATACAAATTTTGTTGGGTTTTTTTCTCTATCATATCGTTAATTCAACATGAATGCATACTAAATCTGCGAGACGTAGTCTCATTCTATTACATTATTTGGGGTTTCATTCGAACCACTTGGATGACTCTAACACTGTAAATCCATTATATATTGGTCTGATCATTTTCCTGACTGACTAGAAGCTAATCATCGTCAATAATGACTAGTACCTTGTCATCGACAATACTGGTTCTCCCGACGAATGATTCATCTTTAAATTCCTTATAAAATGTAGTTTCAACAGAGCGTATTATTTACTTCTGTTATTTTTCGTGAGTTTTTCCATTTACTTGTCAAATTTATATTTATTCATTAAATTTGAAGAAAAATAAAATAAAAATCCAAATCATTTAAAATCCTTTTGAGAGTTGAGTTCAGTGTTCAGTAATATGAGTCGTTATCATTGTTTCCTTAAAGGGGTCTCGTGGGAGAATAGTCATTGACTAATGTGTCACCCTCTATAAATAAAGCATTATTATTATTATTATTATTATTATTATTATTATTATTATTATTATTATTATTATTATTATTATTATTACTACTACTACTATTGGTAGAACAAGACCATTCCATATCTGAATTTAAAACAATCCAAAGTTTACCAATTATGTTGAAAATTACGTATTCTCTTTACTTTTCTATGTGCATACTAATTTTGGTACAGTTTATTTCGTACTTGTAATCATTTATCAGCTATTTAGGGCAAAGAAGATACGTTTTCATGTGGAATTAATCTTCTATGGTGCAACCGCAGAAACCTTAATATGGCAATAGGTAACGAAACGAAAACTCCAAATATTCTAATTGGACGCAACCATTTTCATTGGTGCCAGTTATTTCGAACAGATTTTATTCCATCATATAATTTGCATCGTCATAACCGGGCGCCCTACAGATATGATTAGCTTCTGAGAGAGTAATATGTAACAGGTGAAGATGTTTGTATTTACAACATGCACAGAAGATATAAACTTGGCATGCCCCTATTTTTTTTTTTCATGACTGTGGCTGAAATTTCTTTGAATAGTGTACTTGTGAAAATTGTACATGTCTAAGCGCGCAGCTAACCATCTACACTGGTCCTATGTGCTCAAAACATCGGGCCAAATTAGTCAAAAGTACAAAATCTTTAGCACTTATTAAAACAAGAAATTGATTATACCCGATTAGGCAATATCAGTCTCTGGACATGCAATAAATGAATTAGATGGAAGATCTTTTGCAAAGTATTCTAGGATGATAGAAATAGACAAAATTAAAAATGCATTTTATTTTGCATCATCTATAACTCATTTTATTGTAAAGAATAAAATGCACGGAAACTATATGACCGAAAATATATAATTTCATTCAAAATGAAATAAAAAGTATGAAACTAGAGAACATGGAAGACTGGAAGATCATAACAAAGCAAACAAAATAGTAAACAAGAACACAAATAAAACATGAGAGTAAATGTTTTATCTTCCTTTGGTTTGGTTGAGGATTGTAATGATTGATATCCATACATACACAAGTGTCTAATAATATTGTTTTCATATGGTCATCAATCACGCCGGTGGCCTAGTGGTTAGAGCGTACGCCTCGGATGCGGGAGGTCGCGGGTTCAAAACCCCGTTTCCAACCCTGGCCGAGTCATACAAAAGACTTTTTAAAAAATGGTACTAACAGCTGTCTCGATTGGCGCTCAGCATTAAGAGGTTAGTGTTAGAACTGATCCGCCTGTTGTCAGGATAATGTGACCGGGTGGGACATCATGCCACGTCTGCGGCATGATGCCCCAGTGCTAGACGTCACTATGACCTGTCACTCTGCAGACATCGTACCGATATGACTGAAAAATTGTGAAAGCTATGTTAAATCTCTCTCTCTCTCTCTCTCTCTCTCTCTCTCTCTCTCTCTCTCTCTCTCTCTCTCTCTCACACACACACACACACACACACACACACACACACACACACACATATACACACACACACCACACACCTCATATGGCCATTACCTAAAAGATTTGATAGAAGTGGTGGCCGTGTTGTTAAATTCGCAAGTGTGCTCACTTCACTCAAGCGATACTTGGCCATTGATCATGTGCACACAAACTACATCAAACTTACCTACATCACGTATATAGTGTTATGATAGCCATTATGGAATGTTTGACTCATGTGCAGAACATGAAAAAAAAATATTGTGACCTGTCGACATTGGACGACATGCTGTTTGCTTGCTTTTTGTTTAAATTGCACATGTTATGTTCTTAGAACGACAGGTTTATATACTTTACTGTAATTCTGAACTTCAGTTTGAAAAAGTCTAGGATTCGGTGAATGTGGATATGTGAGAAAGCTTGCAAGTAGTTTTTCATGGGTCGGTGGTTCTTTCCGGTGATTTCCTGGTTTCATCCATCAAATTAATACTGGCCACCATGTATAGCCAATCGTGTGCTGAATAATGGCGGTAAACCCCACCACAATAACAACAGTTTAAAAAAATATTAAAAAAGAGTTGGAATTGGGGAAAATATTCGAAGAATTTTGAGCATAAAATATCTTTTAAAACATCATTATCATTTTTTATGGTCGTGAGAAAATGTACCAACTGAACTGTAGCTACTGTAACAGATTTACTGATGCACATCACTAACTTATGTCTAGAAAGAAAGTGATAGAACTAATTTTATACATTCGCACTGGAAAAACAAATATAGTGAATACTATTTATGCCGCTTTGATCATGAATAAATGTTTCATTACCAGAATTATTGAATTATGTTTTTGAGTTTAAACATGCCCCCAAAGCGAAGTTTACTTCACCTTACTTTGATTTTAATCTACTTTGCCATCCCAACTTTTTCATACAATGAATTAATAAAATTTGTTAAGTCCAGAGCAAAACAATAATTAACAATGACACACCAGAAGTACTGACATTCAATAAAAATAGATACAATGCAAAAGAAAAACTTTGCAAGTGGCTATTAAATGATCTGTCAAGTATTTAAATCGTACATAGGAAACAAATTTGCATTGTCTCCTTTTATTATTATGCACAATTTGTGTGACTGAACATACTAACAGGATAAAACAAAAATTAGCACAGAATTGGCAACAGGGCCGATTCCTAACCGCACGAGTTATAGTCACCTTATTAATTTGTATTAAAAATGTGGGTGTTTTTTTTGCACTCACATAAATGAATGTCTATGTCCATGGCACTTGTTTTGCATCTTCTGGTGATAAAATGTAAAGGATTTGGTTGTTAGTCCCCTCTACTTCCAGCCTCGGACTTTTCTAGATATCATGGTGCATTATGACATTAATGTTAAAGGATACATAAATGAAACTATGTAAACACAAGTTAGTACTTACTATTACTTCATACAAGGAATATTTCTTGCAATTTTTTACATGAGAAAATCGCACTATTTCTTCTGTTTTGAAAATAATGTCATAATGCCTTCCAAATTTAAACGAATGAAACTGGAAACAAAATATGTTGTTAAAAGCGTGCTTGTGGAGCAAAACAAAGGGCATAGTGACCAAGATAAGCACAGCACCTGATCAAATCGAGCAACCTGAAATGGCTTAAAAGTTTGAATAAAAATTACTCACACCTGTTATGTATATTTAATTTGTATTGTTTATTTTCAATCATTATATGTATATCTGTATTTTGTAATTGACCTTTGTCCAAAATCAAGCTAATTGTGACAATAGACATTTATTTGGTAAACAACATAAAGTAGCCAATATTTATCTTTGATTATATAATATTCGGATCACTTTTAATGGAGGCAAACTTGTTTATTTGAGTCCGAGTCGGGGCATCAATTTTCAACTTGGAGATTCCTAAACTTGTTGACAGATGAGCATTAGAATAATGCAGTCACTGAACAACGTTCATTTTACTCTGTCTAAAATTACTTTATTGACAAAGTCCAAATTATTTTAGAGTGAATTTTTCAGTTCCTGTAGCTCGTCATCAAGCTATTTTTTAAGTTCAGCAATTTTGTCCATAACACTTTTCCTCAAACTATTTGATGTTGTGAAAAATGCAATCAGCAGCAGCTGTCATTGTCTCAATGTCTTTTTAGTTCCTGCCTTTCTTCTTCACCCACCCCATGAAATTAAAGATATTTGTTTTGTTTTATATCATCACTTATTTAAAAACAGCAGATGGATATTGAAAACTATTTCATATTAAATATATTAATATTTCTCTCAGCTTGGATGTATTCTATATTCTTACATTTTTTATGTTCATTGCAATTATTGTCTGTCCTATTTTCACTCAATTCAAAACTATAACTGGATCCAACTAATTTCATAATTAGGCTCTATACATTTGGAATTGTGATAAAACTTTTAGGATTAAGTTCACAATACTGTAAACTTTAATTCTTAAATTTTCACTTTGTATCAAATTATTTCTTGACTTTTACAAAACTTGTTTTTTATTATCTTTTTTTTTTACTTAGTTTGAAATCATTTATGTTAACACATAAAATGGCACCATACTGCTACTGAAATCTTCTATAAAAAAAAGACAATCGAGTTCATATGTTTATTGATAATGTATTATATTGGAGGCTGTATATCATAAATCATATTGATATGTGACAGGTGTATCATTCAGCCCTACTTGACAGAGCATCTAAAAAGTAATAAAAGATGAACAAGAATGTGTTATGATATATCCCTGTATTTACTATCGTGAAAATCTGAAAAGAGAACAACACATTTTTATTCTTTATCTTGTGTTTTAGAAATTTCAAATATTTTAAACACATGCCAGCAAAAACAGAAAACAAGGCTGTACCTTTGATTCAATCAGTTCTAAATCCATCTTTAACTTTCAAAATGTTTGAACTTTGCTGTCAACTATTCTAAAGACTTGTTCTTTGAAAGTTTAACAAGGAATTGGAATACAAGATATTGCTGACCAACATGTATGATCCACTGGCATTGCTTGTTACTACATCAGTAATTTATATTGTACAACAAAACAGCATTGATCCTAATGATGTGAATGATACAAGTCCATAATTCAAGACAATATGTTTTCCAGGGTAGCCAATCAGATGTATGATTATTTCATTAATATATAAGCATCAAGTTCATGAAGAAGCTTGTACAAGATCTTGATGATGTAAGCATATATTCCAAATCTGATCAAATTCAGATCATATGACCTCCAGACAGTGCCGGATTTAGACAAAGCGAGGCCCTAAGCTATGGGAAGCTATAGAGGCCAAATTTGGTATAAAATAAATTTGAGGGGCCCTTCAGACTGAGTTCAGACTTTGAGGCCCTAAACTGTAGCTTGTTTAGCTTATGCCTAAATCCGGTACTGCCTCCAGAGTGGTAAGAAGCTCAGCAAATCAGATGCAAGATTACCTCATTAATATGTATGGATCCCACTTATTATCATGTCTATTTAAAAAACCTCATCATATGAGCCCATATTTCAAGTTTGATCACAATCAGATTGCCTCTCGAGGGGTAGCAAACTCAGCCAACCAGATGCAAGACCACCTCATCAGTATATGTGGATCTGGCTCATTATGAACTCATTATAAACTTGTCCAATTTCGCTCATTATGAACTTGTCCAATCTGGCTCATCATGAACTTGTCCAATCTGGCTCATCATGAACTTCTCCAATCTGGCTCATCATGAACTTGTGCAATCTGGCTCATTATGAACCTGTCCAATCTGGCTCATTATGAACTTGTCCAATCTGGCTAATTATGAACTTGTCCAATCTGACTCATTATGAACTTCTCCAATCTGGCTCATCATGAACTTGTCCAATCTTGCTCATTATAAACTTGTCCAATCTGGCTCATTATGAACTTGTCCAAGATCTTAATGACATAAAGATATATTCCTAGTTTATCAATATTAGATCAGAAATATGGCCTCCAGAGTGATAACAAGGTTAGCAAATCAGATACAAGTTCGTCTCATTAATATGCATAAGTCTCATAAACTAATGCATCTGACAATTTGATGATATAAACCTACATTCCAAATTTAATTGAAATTGCGTGAGCAATATGGCATTCACAATGGTAACAAAGTGAGCCACGATAACCTCATTGGTATGCACTGATCTGATTTTTGAGCTTGTTTTGAAGACATAAATGCATATTCCAAGTCTGACTGAAATCAGATGAGAAATATGGACTGTAAAACAATCTCAGCAATTCATGACAGAGGGACAATGCATAAGGGCTGACATGAGATAGACTCTGGCTCACTAGGCCTTATGAGCAGGTAAATTGAAAATTGATGAGTAATTCAAAATGCCATGCTGTTTTAATCTAGAGCGAGAATTACAGTAACATTTTTCTATATCATATGTTACAACAAATTTTCTGAAGCAATGTTTAGAATGGTCTGGGATACTTAGTGATTCTTAATTTTGCCAAAAGCTAACCTTGTCGTATTTCACTGTGAAAATCATTTATGCTTTATGTCATTTTACATTATTCTGCACTAGCATGATGTTATGGTTTTAGTTTTATATGACTAAATGAGTCATTTATTTACTTGAAACTCTGTATCATTTCTATTCATAAGCAAGTAAATGTGTACTGATCAACCTATGTTAATTTTGAC